ATTTTCTCTAGAATAAATCTATTCATTCGGATCGACATGAGAGTCTAACTGTATGGCGGCTGGAAAGAAAGACGCCCTCACCAAAGAAGGTATGGTGGTAATATCTCCTTGAAACCGCCATCCATGTTCAAAGAACAGATGCAGCTAACCAACGAGCAAGCAGGTTCTGTGATTCCCCGGGTTGTCGGAATCTCTGGTTCGAGATAAAACAGAATCAAAAGGGCTAGGAGCTCTGGCCGGTAACGAAACTAAAGCTTCACACGGGTCTGAAAAACCGTAATACGCCTTGAGGAATTCCTACCATTAGCTTAGATAAATGCTCTTTAAACTCATTCAATATCTTTCTCGCTTTATCCTGCTAACAGCACCTTGCTCCGACCTGAGCTATGCAACAACGAGATCTCCCTTGGTCCTTGCCGTATGTGCTTGACGACCCCCCATAAGACAGAGATTCTCTAGAAGAAATACGGGGTTCTGCTTCTGGCGGCAACATGCTTGGTCCCGCTTATGGGGTCCTCAACGTAAAGAAAGCTCATTAGGTCAAAACTAGGGGAGTGCCCCAAAAAAAAGAAGGGAGCTACGTCTGAGTTAAACTATTTATGTAGTAATAGTAAGTAGTAGCGACGTGTTCCTAGTCGGGCCTAAATGGATGAATGAAGAAGCGCGCCCCCTGATACATCGCTATTTCTTAATCCTTGCGTCCAGGGATAATTTGATTCTTCGTCGCCGAAGTAAATAGGAGAGAAAATAAATCTGCTTCTCTGGACGCTGTTCTGTTACCCGGTCTAGATCCAGGAATCCCACCCTATTCTCAAACCTCGATCCAAGCCCGATGAAAAAAAAATCAACTGTCCGCTGGTAAATCTGGTTTAGCACTACAATGTCTCCATTGTGTGGCGGGCTTGCTTCGCTCTTCAAGCTTCGCCCCCATTACCCGGTCGACGAGAGCCGTCATAGAACCGATTGTTGGAAGGCTGTTTATGAGCGGAAGGGAAGCTTTCAAAAGGGCGGCGCCCACCTGCGCTTTGTGCAGAACTGTCTGTCTATCCATGAACATCTATTCTATCTGTATATCTAGGGAAAAATAGCATCTTGTAAGTTTTCGGAAGAAAGACGGTGCCCCATGACTAAGAAGGGGGCGGACACAGCATCCCCCGACATTAATAAACCACGAGCAAGTCAGATTGGGATCCCCAATGACAAGCGAACGGGCATTTTCTGCCATCCAATTCATGACGTGGATGATCCGCCGAATCCCCCTTTTCCAAAAGCTCCGCAGGACCACCTACCACTAGTCTTCGGCCGGAGGGGTTTATTGCACAAAAAGGCCGGTTCCAATTCTAAGAAAGAAAAATCCAGAAAAATCCTTCCTTATCAGAAAAGGGTCCGCGGGGCTTATTTATTGAAAAAGGATAATTCCGAAGAAAGACTGTTGGCAGCAGGTAGGTCCGACCCCTTTGGTTTGTCATAAGAAGTTCAGCCAGTTCCTCAACAGGCCTAGTCCCTAAATCCCTAAACTAAATAGGACGTTTATAATCGCCCGCTGCGTTATCCGCCGTCTCTGCGGCCGCCAAAATCCATCCGAGATCGAAAGAGCCTTGGATCAACTTGAATTGGCGTCGCTGGTGTGTTGTTCGTTCTAGCGATAGGGCCATCCTTCGTTTGCGGTCGACGTTCTGGCTTTGTTCGTCTCCGAGATCGAATTCCTCCCAGGAACAATCAGAAACTGGAAAAAAAACCAGGTCTCTTGTTTCCAGTTTTTTTTCTTAATCAACCATAGGTGATGACAGTTCTGGCTCAATTGGTAGAGCATTGGGCTTTTAACCTAGGTCCAGTTGGGTCATTCCACTCGCACAACTAGTGTTCAAACCTTCTTCGTCGGAGACTGAGTTAATATACAATCCAGAGAACCCGTCGCTGTCTCGGCTGTGCTACCGGAAGCTCTGGGGAAGTCGGAATAGGAAAGTCCATACAAAATTTGGACTTAAAAGGAGAAGAACTGAGAGAGTAGGAGTGTACCATGAGAGAAGCAAAGAGGTCAAACCAGAGAAGGCTCTTTCATGCTAGGCGTCCAGACCTTCCTACCAGAATGCCTTCTTGGTCGAAGAGCCCCTTTTTTAACATGGAAGCGGTCACTATACTGGGGGGGCTTGAATGCCCGTTCAATTTCTTATCGATTCCCAACCCCCAATAGTTTCTATTGAAAGACAGTCTGGCTCTTTAAAAAGGGCGCCCTCATAATCTCAGGCACTTAAGCCTGGAACTGATGAAATTCAGGGAGAACTTCTTGGGCACTCTTGTTAGGCATCAACTCTCCTAATTTCGCCCATATATCAGATTGAAGTTCCACTCGAAGCCTCCCCCTTGTAAATATTCTCAGGTTCATTCGGAATTAAAACATAAGAAACTTTAGAGTTATAGAATCAATCAATGGAAAAACTGGTTAAGATGGCATTATTAATATGATTTATCTCAGATTAGATGGTCTAGAGAAGCAAAACGAAATCAGGATTTGGCCGAAAAAGAAGCAAGGCTATGGATACCATGACCGATCAAGAGATTGACATCCGACAACTCCTTGTCCTTTCCAACTTAGAGCTCCTTTCCTTACAGTCAAGTGGCTTTCACTCCTTCTACTCTAAACTACTATGTGCCTAGGTTTTACACTTTTCTCAAAGAAAGAGGAAACTTCTCGGTTCCTTCTTCCATAACCAAAGCTCGGAGAAGGAAGAGATAAGAGGGCCCTATGGAGAATGTGGTCAGAAATCCATAATAGAGTCCGACCACAATGACCGAATTGATTATCTTCATGCATAAGGATACGAATCCATTTTCTATTTTAAAGCGAACACAACAAGAGGGTCGTTAGACCGTAGCTTGTGCGAAGGAAGAAGCTAATCAATCAGAATTGAGACAGGGAGGAGAGGCGAAAGAGAGATTTTCGAGCCTGCAAGGGATAATGCTAGATTGATTGAGTGTCTTACAGCCCTGGGATGCTTTACAAGCGATATTCCAAAGGAATTGATTATCATAGACGATCGATATACTTTTGTAATCTCCGATCATCAACCAAATCCATAGGTCTTGCTTCCTCTCCAAGCCAAAGGAGGATAATCTCTTTTGGCAGCTCAATCCCCCTAGGCCGAACCCTTGGCAGAAAGTGCAGGTGTGACCCACGCCCAGGACCCATGGACCGTGGGTCCACCTACACTCCATCCTCCAGGTCCGTGGGTGGGTGGTCTGCAACTCACTTTTGAGGGCTTGACCTATGAGGCACTCCCATGAGGCGTGGATGGACTACGCCCCGTAGGTCCTATCCGTAGGTCTCAACTTTTAGGTAGCTTGGGCATTTTTGGAGAGCTTTAGGAGTTAGGCTTTAGGGTCCTCCTCAAGGACCCTTGGTTGGTCCTTGGGGGGTCGTACCTTGACGTTTAACACTATTTTACAACATCAAACCTCACATCAAACTAAAAAACTCTGACACAAGGTTCTAGTTTCACCTACTAGTTTTCGGAGGTGTTACATTTAGAGTTCCTTTATCGAAGTTTAACTTGTGAATTTGTTAGTTGTACTTGAATCGATTTAGGTTGTATTGTGTTTATGTTGGTTGTGCTGAGCAGAAGAGAGAATGAGAGAGGCAGAGATGAATGGTAGACAAGTAGGTCACTGAGATGATGTTGATGACGTTAATAGTGTGCACAACCCAATCCAATTGGGTGGAATTGGTACAATCTGCCTACCATCAGCCAAAAATGATGCTATATTTGATGTCACGAGCACAACTCCTCATATCCTCCAAATGAAGGGACCCTACGGAGGGTTGACTCATGAAAAGCCACATGAGCATGTAAGGAATTTTATAGATGTTTGCAGCCCGTTTTCATTCAAGAATGTGTCGCAATAATCAATCCGGCTCAGATTATTTCCAATATCTCTGACGGGGGAAGCTAGCAAATAGTTGGCTGAGTTACCAAAGAATTTTATCACATCGTGGGATGAGCTTACCACGACATTCAATGCGAGGTTCTTTCCTCCATCGAGGATGATGAAACTCATAGATAACATTCAAGGTTTCAAGCAATTGGAGGGTGAACCCATCTATGAAATGTGGTTTAGGTTTAAGAAATTCCTACTTCAATGCCCGACTCACGGACTACCAAACAATTTGCTACTCCAATACTTTTACGTGAGTCTTGATTTGGTAAATAAAGGAGTGGCTGATCAATTGGTTCGAGGGGGAATAATATTGCAATAATTTGAGATGGCTTCATTTCTTCTTGATGGCATGACGAAAATAAATCAAGCTTGGTATACTCAAGAAGATCAAGTTTCTCCTTTTTGTTTTAGAATGACTCAAGAGCAACTTGATAAGGAAACAGAAAAGGATGAGAACATCAAGAAGATATTAGCCCAAATGGAACTATTGCAAGCACATGTGTTGGAGAATGTGAAAAAGCCCAAGGGAACAAGTGGAGTGTTTAGAGTTGAGGAGGATTCTTCCTCGGGCTATTCAAAGCCGGTGGAGAATCAAGGTTGGAATTCCAATAGATATGAGGAGGATTTCCACCCACCCTATTTACAGCTGGGTGGGAATTAAGGTTTTAACTCTCACAAAGAAGAAGAGCAAAGAAGATACTATCAAGAATGGGCTAAGCAAAGTGATTATTGGAGAAGAGAGGATGAACATGAAGAAGACCACACTCAATCGAGTGAGAGCCCAAAGTCGAAAGGAAGTGCAAGTAGTCCCCGAGTGGATGATTTGTTATCGCGCATCCTTGACAAAGTTAAAGGTTTGGATGATTTGCTAAAAGGGATAAAAGCCGATTTCTCATCATTAAACAATAGAGTGAACTCTCACCCTGATGCAATCAAGCTACTTGAAGGTCAGTTCAGTTTACTTTCAGCATAATTGGAACCAAATATGATGAGGGGAAATGGTGATAGAGGTCTAGTTGTGGTTACGCATAGTGGAAAGGTAGCGGTAGGTGATGTGATGGGCAATGACGAAGCTCAAGCTCATGAAGAAGACAAAGGTATTGAGTAAGAAGAATACTCATCCAACAAAGCATTGCCAAAGGGTCACAAAAAGTTGTGGAAAAAAGCAATCCAATCTCAAAAGTGGTGCAACCTCCAGCCAAAATACCTCCTCCATTTCCCCAATGCCTCAAGAAGAAGAACGAGGATGAGAAGTTCAAGAAGTTCTTATCGGTGTTCAAGACATTATTGATTAATCTCCCTCTAGTGGAGACATAGTTGGAGATATCGGGTTATGCCAAGTTTATAAAGGAGTTAGTCACAAAAAAAGAAGCTTGGACTTTGAAACAATCGAAGTTTCTCATAGTTGTAGTGCAATTATGACTAATGAGATGATAAAAAAGAAACAAGATCCCGGAGCTTTCACCATCCCTTGCACCATCGGCATGCTCCAATTTTCCAAGGCCCTATGTGATTTAGGAGCAAGCATCAACCTAATGCCATACTCAATCGATAAACAACTTAGGTTGGGTGAACCGAAATCCACAACAATGAGACTCTTGATGGCAGACCCATCGATTAAACATCCCATGGGGATAATATATGAGATCTTAGTAAAGGTTGACCGATTCATTTTTTCGGCTAATTTTATCATTCTCGATTGTGAGATTGATGCTGAAATTCCCATTATTCTGGGAAGACCATTCTTGGCAACCAAGAGAGCATTGGTGGATGTTCAAAATGGGGAATTGAAGTTCCGAGTGAACGAATATGAAGTAAGCTTTAATGTGTGTAAGTCAATGAAGCACCCAAGCGATATTCATGTGGTCTCTACTATTGATGTTATTGATAAAACGGTGGCTAGTGTGAGCCATTTGATGAGTATGAGTGAACCACTTGAGGCCATGCTTGCTAACTATGATGAGTTCGAAGTCCAAGGCTATAAAGAGGTAGTACCAACCCTTTCGGGTTTGGGGGAGTATTCAAAATCTTCATTGAAGCTGGATATTGATCTAAAATATGGAGAAAGTCCTCCCGCAAAGCCATCAACGGAGGAACCACCGAAGCTTGAGTTGAAAGTGCTTCCTTCCCATCTCTGATATGCATTCTTGGGGGCAAATAACACCTTACTTGTAATCATTGCAACTGATTTGCTTGAATGGAAAGTAAAGTTGCTTCTTGAGATGTTGAGAAGACAAATCAAAGTTATAGGATGAACTATCGCTGGCATAGTGGGCATTACTCCCGACATTTGCACTCACAAGATTCAGCTTGATAGTGAATGTAAACTAATTGTTGAACATCAGCGGAGATTGAACCCACTGATGCAAGAGGTGGTAAAAAAGGAGATAATAAGTGGTTGGATGTAGGTGTGATCTACCCTATTGCGGATAGCAAGTGGGTAAGTCCTATACAATGTGTATCGAAAAAGGGAGGCACCACGGTAGTCCCAAATGAAAATGGGGAGTTTGTGTCTATGAGACCGGTAATCAGATGGCGAGTATGCATGGATTACCAGAAGTTAAACTCGTGGACCAAAAAAAGATCACTTTCCTATGCCTTTCATGGATCAAATTCTTGATCGACTTTCAGAAAGAGGATGGTATTAGTTTTTGGATGGGTACTCCGATTATAATCAAACCTCTATTGCTTCGAAAGACCAAGAGAAAATCACCTTCACCTTCCCATATGGAACTTTTGCTTTCAAACGAATGTCGTTCGGGTTATGTAATGCTCCGGCAACGTTTCAACATTGCATGCTATCTATTTTCCCTGACATGGTGGAAGATTTAATGGAAGTCTTCATGGATAACTTCTCAGTCATGGGTGATACTTTTGAAGCATGTTTAGCACCCTTGGGGTAGGTCCTTCAAAGATGTGTGGAAACAAATTTGGTACTAAATTGGTAAAAATGTCACTTCATGGTTAGGGAAGGTATAGTTCTTGGTCACAAAAAGGGCTGGAGGTTGATAAAGCAAAGATTGAAGTGATTGAGAAGTTACCACCACCAATCTCAGTGAAGGGTATTCGTAGTTTCTTGGGGGATGCCGACTTTTACAGTTAATCAAACACTTCTCAAAAATTGCACACCCCTTATGCAAACTTTTGGAGAAGGAGGTGGAATTCAACATTCATGATGCATGTATGATGGCCTTCAAGTGTTTGAAAGAAGAATTAATCTCCACCTTAGTTATCATTAGTCCCCATTGGTTAGCACCCTTCGAAGTGATGTGTGATGCAAGTGGTACGACATTAGGTGTCGTGTTGGGAAAAAAATGCAACAAACTATTTCACCCCATTTACTATGCAAGCAAAACTCTGAATAGTGCTCAACGTAACTATACAGTTACAAAGCAAGAATTACTTGTGGTGGTATATGCGTTTGACAATTTTGGGCATACTTGTTGGGCACTAAAGTGGTTGTTCACACTGATCATGCTTCTCTGTGTTATTTGATGGCAAAGAAGGATGCCAAGCCAAGATTGATAAGGTGGGTGCTGTTGTTGCAAAAATTTGACTTTGACGTCAAAGATAGAAGAGGTTGTGAAAATTAGGTGGCTGACCACTTATCAAGATTAGAAGGCAAGGAAAATTACGAGCTGGAGGTAGACATAAATGATGCCTTTTCCAATGAACAGGTATTCACGGTAACTCTACAACAAACTCATTGGTATTCTGATTTTGCTAACTATGTAGTGCGCAGGCTGATACCGGAAGAACTGAACATCTATCAACAAAAGAGGTTTTTATTCGATGTCAAGAAATACTTTTGGGATGAACCATACTTATTCAGAGAGTGTGTAAACCATATTATTCAGAGATGTGTACCGGAAGAGGAATTCAATGAAATTCTCCATGCTTGTCATTCTTCACCGGTTGGGGGTCATCATGGTGGAGTGCGTACAACTGCTAAAATCCTCCAAAGTGGTTACTACTGGCCATCCCTTTACAAAGATGCTCATGAATTTGTTAAGAAATGTACGCAATGTCAAAGACAAGGTGGAGTATCCAGAAGACATGAGCTTCCTTTGAAACCTATTTTGGGAGTTGAATTATTTGATGTTTGGGGAATAGATTTCATGGGTCCATTTGCGAGTTCGTTTGGTAATATGTACATTTTGGTGGCAGTAGAGTATGTTTCTAAATGGGTAGAAGCTGTGGCACTACCAAACAATGAAGGGAGAAGTGTTGTTCAGTTTCTAAAACGCTACATCTTTGCTAGGTTCGGCACTCCTCGGGTTATTATTAGTGATGTCGGATCCCATTTTTGCAATAGGCTTTTTGCATCCACATTGAGCAAATATGGGGTGCGACATAAAGTAGCAACACCATATCATCCCTAAACGAGTGGCCAAGTAGAAGTTTCAAATCGGGAGATTAAGAATATCTTGGCTAAGACCGTAAATGCAAATAGGACTGATTGGTCTCAAAAGTTAGATGATGCTTTATGGGCATATCACACCACCTACAAGACACCAATCGGTATATATCCATATCAACTACTCTTTGGGAAATCTTGCCATTTATCGATTGAATTGGAACACAAAGCATTATGGGCATTAAAGGCTCTTAATCTGTACTGGGCAAGAACTTCAAAAGGAAGAGTAGATTATCTCAATGAATTAGATGAATTCAGGATTAGGGCCTATGAAAGTTCAACACTCTACAAGGAAAATATGAAGAAGTGGCATGATTCTAGAATCCTTGGAGGGAATTCTGAGTTGGAGATTGGGTGTTGCTGTATAACTCTCGACGAAGACTCTTTCCGAGAAAGCTCAAATCCATATAGTATGGCCCATTTAGAGTAACACATGTGTTCACTAATGGAACAATTGAAGTCAAAGGTAAAGAAGGCACTGCCTTTAAAGTGAATTGGCAACACTTGAAACATAGACTTTGAAGAATGCTATGAAATTTCTGTGATTGAAGTGGTGTATCAGGAAGATGCTTGAGATCATTTCCATATCATGCCACGACGTTAAATAAGGCACTTCTTGAGAGGCAACCCATGTGTTAGTGTTTTGAATAATGTGTGCTGAATGTGCAGGTATAAGTGATTTAGTTGAGGAAAGACCCCATCGGCGAGTCACCGAGCCAATTCGGTGATTACGAATTTGTTCGCCTTTTTGGTGCCAACAATGGGCTGAGACATTGGAACATTAGGCGGAAGGCTTGTACCACTCGGTGACTCACCTAAGTGATTGGGCGACCCAACTTTCACCGGCTTTTTGTATTAGCCCTGATAGCCCAGCCTCTTGGATCAATCGGTGAGGTTTTAAGTCCATTAGACAATGCGCCAATGTATTCGGCAGACTCCCACTTGTCTGCCTTTTTTCCCCTACATGGACTGGTTGCACACTGGAAATTTTGGCTGGCTCAAGACCATTGGGCGAATCACCAAGTAGTTCGGCAACTCCAACAAGTTTTCGCCAAATGGGCACCTAGTGAAGATTCCTTTTCACCCTACTCTGCGTGTTTAAGTGCCAGTAGTTTACCTTTGTTTTTGTTATTGTTTGTTCTCTATTCACATTAGGGACAATGTTGGATGCTTTTTTGTGGGGGCGATAGGTGTTTGGTTATTGAGTCCTTTGTTCTTTCAAAAATTGGTTATGATCAATACTGATGACTTGAATAGTGCTCCTAATTGAACGAAATGCATATGTGGCTACGATGAGGCCAAATGAAGTTTCATAGATAATATGTGGACTTTTTGCATCTCGTTGTCCCTAGCCGGTTATTGAATAGAGTCTATTGTGATGAACATTGCACACTAGCTCGAATGATTCTCATTTGATATTTGTGCTAATGCCTTGTATGATTAGCTTACCTTGAACATTTTGTGTGATGACACCTAGAATTTTCTCCGTTGGTCTGGTTGACTAAGTGATGCAAGCACTTGAAATGAGCTTAGGCAACAATTTTGAAGAGTGAAACAATTTGACAATATACCTCTTTTGTAGCGAACCTTGCTTGATGTGTGAACCTTGCTTGAACTCCTTCGAGCCTTACCTTTTTTCTTGGAAGAAACTTGAATAATTGTGATCCCTCTTTATCCATTCAGTCATAACTCTCACGAAGTGTGGCTTGTTTGAATAGCCAACTTAGGCCAAAAGCCTAAGTTGGGGGTGTGGTAAAAAGAGAAGGTAAATCAAGAAGTGTGAAGAATTCCCCTTTGAGCCAATGGCCTTGAAAAAGATGGAACCCTTCCATAAAAAAAATAAGAGAAAGAAAAGAAGAAAGCAAAAGAAAACAATAAAAAAGTTGTGAAAGTTGCAAAAGAAATAGGGTATCTGGTAGTCCATGTGAAAGTGAATAATGGGTTGAATAGTGAACATGATCAAAATGTAAAAAAAAAGGGAAGAAAATGATGTTCAGACTGAGCCTAAATGACCATACCTTTGCACTCAGTCCCGTTACAAGCCTTGAAAGACCTTTGTGATCTTAAGTGAGCTGAAACGGGTGTTGATTGGAAAATAAGGCAAACCTATGGGTGAAGTCATGCATGTGTTCATCTTTGTGAGTGTGAGAGTTGTACGTGATTTCGAAACTATAAATTGTTGAAGAATTGTGTGTGATTATGGAATCATCTTTGATGTGAGGGAATTTGAGTACCTTTGTTAAGCTTGAACTTACATTTGAAGCAAGTATTGTGAGCTTGAGCATCTTTAGTAATGGTGAAGTCACAACTGAATCTTTGAGTGCACAATTGATCATTGCATGAGTAGTCAAGTCTAGTTGTGTGCATTCATGTTGAGTCTTTTGTAGCACCGTTTGAGACATCCTTTAGAACTGTTGAACTTATGTTTTACTTGAGGACAAGCAAACGTTTAAGTTGGGGTGTTGATGAGTCCGAGATTTGGACGCATTTATGGATTTGTTTACATAGGTTTAGTGTCCTCAAATGCTAAATTTGTGCCATGAACTGATGAAAAATCCTTGAATTTCAGGTATATGGGTTGAGGAACAAAGCTAGGACATTAATAGGAAAAAAGGAAAACACAAGCTGAAAAAGAGAGAAAAACAAGCCTACTCAGCGGATCGCCAAGTCACTCCTCGATCGGCTAAAGTTATGAAACACTGAACCTGAAACTCAAAGAACTTAGGTGAACTGTATTCCCTAACGATGACTCACCAACTGTATTGGCAAAGGATAACCATGTCGCCGAAAGTACTAATTGAGGCCAAGATGAATTCAAATTGGCGAGCTAAAAGACTAAACGGCGCATCGCGGAAATGATCGGCGATCTCGATTTAGATTGCTTAAAATTACAATGTTTGAACGATGAAAATGTGAAGAAAGAAGGTGAGAGGAAAGGAAGATCGGTGAGTCACCGAATGGTCGGCGAAGCCCGACTTTCCTCGCCGATTGGCCTCAAAAAGCCACACCTCAGATTAGTATAAATGGATTTTTGGAAGAGAGAGAAAGCATTCAGAAATTGTGAGGAATAAAAGATAGAGAGTAAAAACACTGCTATTGTTGACTTTGAGTAATTTTAGCAAGAATTTTCAATTGGGTATTGTAATAGAGGAGATATTCTTCATTTTATACTTTTGATTTTCAAATACCCAGCTATGGAGCATGTAGCAGGTATCGAATTTCGTTCTTTTTCAATGATTGGCAAAAATCCCAATCTTGGGGTTTGACAATGTAACCAATTGTTGCGTTTGACTTAATGGGTGCTAGTAATTATTAATTTTTGGTGTTAATTTGGAACGAGTCTGAGTTATTACTGTGGTTTAGCTCCTATATTGTATGTTTAGTGCAGTATACCCCAGGGTTTTATGCTTGCTTGAGAGAGAAGTGTAGAATAAGGTAGTAACTTGGCATTCATAGCTAGTGGGTCATGACGGTTTCAGCTTGAAAAAGTGAAACTCAAGGTTCATCCTTTGTATCTAGCTCGAGAGAGTAGATTTGATGAGATTGTGGGCTGGTCTTCTTATGGAGTGTGTTGAGGTTCGAAAGAACTCAATGGAAATAGGGTAATTGTTCGAAAGAAAAGTTCTTTACCTAAAGTCCATCCTACCCATGACAAATTAACACTGTTGGTTAGTGATTTGCACCCGTTGAGTTGAACTTTGCAGTTGGTTAGTCAATCCCCCAAGCATTGTCTCTTTATTTAATTGTTCCTTGTTGGTTGTTGAAGTGGTTTTGTAGTCTAAAAACTGCTCGCTTGGAATAGTGACTACGTCGTCGAGTTTGGTTCATAATTTCCTAAAACTTTTATTCTTTCAGTTGCAAAAGTCACCGTTATAACTTCATATTCGAATTCAAAAATAGAACTACTCTTTGTGGGATCGACCGCAACTTATCTAGTTGGGTTTTATACTGATTTATGATCGTTGAACACCTAGAATTGGATGAGGTGTGTTTGTAACGTTAAATCAGTTATAGAATTACCTATGATCATAGTCTCATCGGTCCAATAAGGGCAATATGACCCAAATATTTGTTTTACAACACAAACATAACAAATCACTTTTTACCAATGTTCATGTCTATACAAATAAATTTATTTTAATATACATATATTTTCATGAAAAATCACAATATTTTAAGTGACACTTTTTCATCAAAGAACACAATTCTTTTGAACGAGTAATATAATTTTCTAATTTTATACTAATCATATTATATACTAATAAAGAGAGACTCAAGGACCACAATATCAAATATACTTCAAGAATATTGTAGGTCTAACATAATACAAGAATGCCATTAAATTTCATATCTTGTACGTTCAAATTTAAATTAGATGATAAGTCTAAGTTTGTGTTTATCACAATTCAAGAAGCCCCCCACATTTTAAATATATTCTTAAAAATATTTTTCAAGTATTTAAAATTATTTTTCACATGTTTTTTTCTCATGCTTTCAAATAGTATACCATCAAAATACACATTGGCAACATAAAGCCTTCTTTTGGAGGATTTAATCCATAGAAACACTCATTGCAGGCACAAAAATCACTAATTTTATGTCACTAGTATTTTTTCCTTTCTGTCACGATTAAATAGACCACTTAGTATTTAGAATACTAGCAATAAAGATTCAATCTTTATACAACTTGTTTCTAGTTTAACGATGAAGCTTTTATATTCTTCTAATCGTTAACCAAATGAACCTTGATGAAATTGTTATTTTCTTCCAATCAGTTTCACTTTCAGACAGAGTAGTAAGCCAAAGATGTTTTAATCTCCAGAAACCTCAAATACAATATTGTTTCTAGCTAACGATGAAGAATTTATATTTTTCAAATCATTTAAGTATTTAACAAATTGATGAAGTTTCTATATTCTTCAAACCAATGCACAATCTGATTTGTTCGGTGAAGTTCTTATATTCTTCAAATCAAAGGATTAAAAAATCAAAAGATTATTAGTCTCCAAAAGTGAGACACAATCAAATTTCACATGGAGTAGAAAACTACAAAAGTTTTTTTTCCTCCTCTAAACAGAATACGTATTAATAATAATAAAGATATATTCCGAGATCATCACATAATGACCATCTATCCTAACATTTATGAAATAAATCTCATAACTTATAAAGGATAGAAAAAAAATCAAGAGAAATAATGATGATACCTGATTTTTACTCCCATTGAATCATATTCTATCTGTCAACAATGATTCCATGTAAGTCACTTTTCTTGATAATTTTTTCTTTCTTACCCAATTTCCATCATATTCCAAGTTTTCTTAGAAGACATTGAATTTCAACGAGAAACTAAACTCATGTTCAAATATTGTTAGGATTCAACATATGTTCATTTACTTCTTCTTATAGTTATATAAAATCAAGATTATA